CTCTTTACGTTACAATGCAGTATCTGTTTATAACTACTTTCTCAATCTACTATTAATATAATTATCCGTAAATTAACTAATCTCATGCCAATAACTTTGTGGTCTAGTGGTATGGAGTGACTCTCCAAAATAGGAGGTTGTGGGTTTGAGCTCTGGTGGAACAGTATTGACTCTTTATGTTTCAGAAGGTTGGGAAAGTAGTTATAAACAGAAATTCAGTTGAGGTTTGATTGTCTCATTTTATTATAAGCCAGGGTCAACAATGAAATTCAAATATTACAAGTCAGAGTTGTAGGTTTCATGTTTGTGCACTCAAAGTTGCGTTATTGTCCTTGGAATTGCATTGCCATAGTTAATGTTTAATTATTAATCTATTTGTAATTAATAAGGATAAATTGTCTTTGTCAATTGACTAAGTGATTATTTGGCTTACGAAATACTACATAAAATATATTTATTATTTAACTAGGGGAGGTAATTTTAGCTGTGGAAGTTTTTTTTCTTTTAAAAAAAATATTTAAAATTTTTATATTGTATTCAATCATAATTTTTTTCCCTCCTATTTAATCCGCAGCTCAATTTGTAATTTTAATTGAACGAATTTTGATATGATATAACATAATTAAAGTCATAAACTATGGCAACAACGTAACAGAGCAGTTAAATTAGGAAGAATCATTATCAAATATATTTATGGGAAAATAGTTAAATAAGTCCTTAAATTATCTACAAAAATGTAATTGACCCCTTAAACTACAAAATGTTTCAATTTGTCCCTTAAATTCAATAAAATATGCAATTGAATCCTTTTTACGTATTTTTTTAAATACTCATAATTCTTTACAATGTAGTATTTGTTCTATATATTTTTCAAATATTTTCAGCCCAAAGAATCTAAGCCCCCCGGTTCGAACCTATGACCCCCATTTGAAGTGGTAACTAGGATGGCATCACACTACATGGTAGTTGACATTTTTAACTATTATTATAGGTAAAGTTCAAGTTAACTGTCACTGCCTAATAAAAAAAAAATTAATGACATGACGTTATCAAAGGCTCTGTTTGGCAAACCTAGCTGAAAAGCTATAAGTTAGGAGCTGAAAGTTGAAAAGCTATAAGCTCGGAGCTGAAAACTGAAGAGCTGTTAAGCTAGCTGTTATGATTGAAAGTGTTTGGTAAAATTAGCTTTTTGATAAACTGATAAATGTAAAAAGACTAAAAATGACATCTTCATAAAATTTAAATTAGTTTGTTTACATATTAAAATTTAACATTGTCTTTAAAAAAAAAATGAACATTTTGAAATAAAACTATTACCATAATCATGATCTAGCATCTCATAATGAAGTAGCAATATTGTTGCAAATCTAATAATAATAATAATAATAATAATAATAATAATAATAATAATAATAATAATAATAATAATATTTGCGGATAAAGGAGAAAAGAAAAGGGTTTTAATTGGGAAGAGTAAATTATGTCATTTCTTTAAAATAATGAGGATAAACATGGAAAAAAAAAAGTTAGGAAGCTAGGAGCTTATTTTGAAACGCTACTTAAGGTAGCGTTCCAAAATAAGCTCTTATTTTAAGCTAGGAGCTTATTTTGGGAACATTACCAAACATAGCTTATAGCTTATTAGTAGCTTAAAATAAGCTATAAGTTCCTAAATAAGCTCTGCCAAACAGAGCCAAAGTAAGCATCCACATCATCATTATAATATAATGATTTTATTATTATTATTATTATTATTATTATTATTATTGGCAAATGTTTATTATATATTTTGTCTTCTTTTCTATAATCTATAACTAAATTTCTAATGAAATTTGTGCGATTTACAAACGATTTGTATGGAAAATTGCTTCAATAACACTTTAAGTTGAATAACTTCTATTTTTGGTATCATAAAGTGCTTCGATTACACATCTTTGTGTCGTTGAATACAAAATTTTGACCTTCAAGTGCACAGTTTTATGCCTTTAAGTGCATATTTTTGTGCTTTCAAGTGCACATCTTTTGTTAATTCGACGTGTAATTTTTCACCTGGGGAGTCTTTCACACACACATATATAATTTTTTTCGTATCAAAATTTGATTAGAATTAATTTTTTAAAATTAAATTCCATTGTTTGTGTATATATAATTTTATATATACTATTTTTGTGTATCGAATTATTCATCATTTACAAGTTTTTCACTTTATTTATTAGGTAGGATAAAGTCTTGTTTTATAGGGTAACCTTAGCTTCTTGAATCCATTCACCAACTTCATGGAGTCCACAGTGGACTAACTGCATCACAAATTGTGGCCAATATGATCAACCACAACCACATACACCAAACCAACAATCTAATTACACATTTATTCAACCATAATCTCATCTGCCACCTCAGCTGGTTATCCAAATGTCTTGCATCAATCATTATCTAATATGCCTATGTAGGCAAATGGAATTGATTGATCGAATGGGTAAAAATTATTCATTCCGTATGAAATAATTTATATATATATTTAATTCTTGTTGTTGACAAATGACAAGAGATAAATACTATTGGTGTATGAGCTGTAAATTTCACTACAATTTTTTTTTTAATAAGAATATGGTGAGAACAAGATAGTCGAAGTTTTATGTGTAATAATGAAAAATTACTTTGTAAATACCTAAGTAATTACTAAGTATAGTAATTTTTTTTTTTTTTTGTCATATTCTATGATGATTAAAACAATTTATATTCAACTCTCGTCGCCGACAGAGACTATTAATGTATGAATCGTAAATTTTAATATAAATCTTTTTCATTTTAATGTGGTGAATACTTTGATGCGATTGACAACAATAGTCTTTGGCCCGGTTTGGTAAATGACTGTTAGCTGATTGAGTTAATTAGAAAGTATAAAACAGATTGAGTTAATTAGAAGGTATAACTAGTTGATAACATTAACCGACTGTAGAAGGGTGTTTGGTAAATTAGCTGTTAGCCGATAACTATTTGGTATGATTTCATTTCTCAAAAAGCTAATTGAAAAAGTTACTTTAAACAGTTTTTTGAATTTTAACATTTTGGAATTACAAAAAGCTAATTAATTAAACACGTATATTGATTTTTTTTTAACAAAGTCAAACAATTAATAGTGGTCAAATAAACTAAAATTGACTGATAAGTTAACTATTTGAGCAAAGAGTAGCCTAATCAGTAACCAAGTATAGTGCTTCCATTTTATGGTCATATTCCCATTCAACCTAACATGCTGACTAATCATTAGTTGTTCTCTAACTAGTTGATTTAGGATTAGGTTAACCTTATCTCTGTAGTACTCTCTCTCTTTTAAAAGTGGCATGAATCCTACTTTCATATCATTAAATTTGTAAATTCTTCATTATTTTCTCTATATTCTTGCAATAACTCTCTTACTTTTAAAAGTGGTCTCACTTACATTTTATATTATAAATGTAATAATAAAATAACAAATAAAAAAAAAAGAAATAAAAGTCATTTACAAACTTGCTATTATAGCAAACTTGCAAGTCACATAAGCTAACAAAACAAAACAAAAATAATAATAATAATAATAATAATAATAATAATAATAATAATAATAATAATAATTCACGTTACCTTTCACGTGATCTTGAAAAGGGTTTACTTGTTAGAATGAGGATAGCCTTACACCCCAATCTTGAAGTTCCTATCACACCTGTCTTTGAGCATTTTAACTTAATGATTAATCATTAATTTTAGGGGACTATCTACTTTCCCTTTCATCTTTAATTTAATTTTTTCTTATCAACAATAGAGATTATACAGCAGAAGTATATACACTCTCAAAAAAAAAAACAAAAAAACAAACAAATAATATTTTGTTGTAATAAATTTTCCCCTAATAATAAGCATGAAATTTTGGGTCTATCTTAATTTCTTGAAAAGGTAAAAAAATCTCCATTAAGCCTTACAAGGAGCACAACAAGAGTAGTAACGTGTCAAAATTTGGGGTCTCTATTTAAAAATAAAAAATAAAATAAAATAAAAATGTTAACGTTGGAAAGTCCAACAAACTTTGGTAGAGAAAGGGACTGTACAATGCAGGTCGTAAATATGGTTGAAATGCTATTTTCAATTAAAAGTTTTGATGGAGTTAATATATGCATGCAGGCAGTTCAAGTGCTTGTCTATAGTAGTGACCAAAAGATGTGTCATTTTCGTATGAAACGACTGATGAAAATAAAAGCCTTTGTTCCTTAGTGGACCACTTAATTTTTTTCCTCAATCCCACAACCAAATTAAAGGACCTGCATGCCTTATATGGACATTCATTTCCTCTTCACTTTCTTTAATTTGTGGTTTATGTTTCATCTCTTGTTTTCTCCACTCTCATTTGTCTTGGTTAAATGAACCCAAAATAGTATTCATATGGCCGAGAAAATGAGGGTGGTTGGTATATAACTGTTAGTTGATTAGGTTAGTGTGTTTCGCTAGTTGATAACATTAACTGATTGTAGAAAAGCAATTAGTTAATAACTGATTACATACAAAATGACTTTTTCAAAAAGCTAATCGAAAAAGTTACTTTGAACAACTTTTTAAATTTTAACATTTTAGAGCAATAAGTTGTTATAAAAAGCTAATTAATCAAACATTCATATTGATTGTTTAACCAAATCAAACAACTAATAATGATTAAATAAACCAAAATTAACTGATAAACTAACTATTTTACCAAACATGGCCAATATATATTTTTTAAATCATTGGGCTAGCCTTAATATGAGCCTTACTAGCACAAATGGATCCGGCTTGAATTGAGTTTTAGGATAACCCGCCCAGTTGACATCTCTAGGTGAATGAATTCATGAAGCAATTATGAGAAATTATTGTTCATGAAGCAAAGTTCTTTCTGTTTCTGAGACCATAAACATTACAAAATCTACTATAAATCTATAATAAAGGCCCACAAATATCTTGAACAGATATCTTAACAAAATGATCTATCTCTTGGCCCAACCAAAAAAATTAATTGATGCAAATTGTTTTTTGTCTGATTTGCAGAGGACTTGTAATTTTCCAGAATGGAATTCAAGTTACAAGATCATTCTGCACTTTACAGATCAAGAGGGAGGATGGTATATTTAGCACGGGAGGTACAACGTTACCCGTTTAATCATAGCATATGGCAGTGTTAGTCTCCAATCTTTCTGTTTACGGCTTAGTGGCCTACCTTTAGCAGAAGGATTGCGGTTTTCCTTGACATCAACCAACTTCCACACACAGCTTCCCGAGTCTGCATCAATGGACTCCAGGAAGAATATCTTGTTCGTTTCAGGGGCTCGAGATTCTTCATCTTCCACAAAGCTCACTCTCATGGGCATGTGTTTGAACCGGTTCAAGTCATCAGGCACTTTGAGTAGCCGATCTGCCCCAGGAGATGACACCTTGCAAAAACAGAAAAAGCAAAAACAGTGGCGCTTCAAAGATCAAGACTTTTTTACGTTATACTTGTTACAAGATTAACTAGTGTCCAGGTAGTAACGTGAAATGTTCAGAACCAGATATTTACCTCAAGAGCCAAATCCTCCGGAAATTCTCCCATTGCCCCTGCTTCATCTAATCTTTTCTTATATTGGTGGCTGAAATGTTCTATTTCATCCATGCTTGGACAGCCATATCTGATGAAATATAAAATATCAGACCCTTATGAACTGATACAGAAGATCACATAATATATTATACTATACATACTAACAAACAGAAATGCTTTCAGCACACTCCAAGCCACTTGCTCTATAAATTTGATTATGTTAGATTGGCACCTAAAGGGGATAACTTAGGGAAAAGTTTCAAAAGTGAACTGATCCAAGAATTTTGATGGTTTATTTAGTCGTATATATTGACTGCTATAATGAATTAATGTGTAGGAGATCCAATGCAAATACATAATTCAATACAAGATTCTCTATGTGTTGGGTGGAGGCCGGTAAAGGGCCAAGTCCAGCAATTGGTGACTAAGGGGATTGTTGGGCAGATGCCGGTGAAGGGCCAAGTTTAGCACCCTGCCACTCAAAAATGTGGCGGTGTATAAGGAAATAAAGTTGCACCTTCGCTGTGAGCTATAGCTTTTGGCATAGTGGTAAGCACTGGGTTCCTAAAATAAGTGGTATCAGAGCCATGTCACAGAAGTCCAGCACCCAATCTCTCGAAAATGTGGCAGTGTATAAGGAAATAAAGTTGCGCCTTCGCTGTGAGATATAGCTTTTGGCGTAGTGGTAAGCGTTTGGTTCCTAACACTATGATCACAGAAGGACTTTATAGATACTGATTTTAGTAGTAACCATGGAATCAGTAAATGCAAGGATTTATTTGGCATGTCAATGGGAAAAGATGCCAAATAATACTTGCATTTAATGGCTGTTCTAGATATTTCCCTAGAAGATAAGACCTTAATCAAGAAGAGGATCAGAATATATATGAAGAACAATGGCGGTATTGTGTTCATGACTGTAAAAGCGTAAAGGAAGGAAAATCAGGAACATACTCAAGGAGGAAGCAGTATAAAAAAGAGCTGGAAAAATGCTTCTTTTGCCTTACACTTCAAGAACTAAGTCCTAACTGTAGGCCAATCCCCCCAACCGTAAAGATCTAATTAGTTGGATTCTAAGTGCAATAAATACTTACGGCCTTTCGCACTTACTCATTTGTAAGTTTGTCCAGTCTCACATAGATGTATCCTCGAGGAGAAGTTTTGAAAGCATAGAGCTCCATGTCAACAGTATGTTCCTTTAGTACCTCATGAGCTATGGACAATGCCTGCTCACCCCATGAACAATTTCGGAATACAACGCCACCACCATCACCTCCATCTCCAATCTGAAAGTTTGATCATCTTCACACTCATATTCACATATAAAATATCAAGTTGGGTAATCCCAGCCAAGTTAGCTAAGGATACAAACTTATAACCACAAGATTACGAGTTCGAATCTCAATCTTTTTAGTTTGAGCTAACACCTAGGCTGATTTACCTCCTTCGCCGGCTAGGGCCAGGGTTTACCCAGTGCATACCCTTGGATAGTGACTGTGGTTTCCTCGTCACCCCAAAAAAAATATCAAGCTTGAAAAATGTTGAACAGATAACTGGTACGAAATTTATATACCTCAGGCTCAACTTCCTCCTCTTCTTCCCATGAATCAATTGGCTCCACCTCCTCACTTGTATCATCTAAATTTTCAATATAAAAGAAAACATATGATTATAAAAATGGATACAGATCCATCAACCAGAACAAGATTGCATTTTTCTTAGCATTTAGAGAAGTGGTTTCTGAATATAACTCCACAGAAAAGCAGAAAGTTTTCAAAAACAAGAAACCAGAAGCAATCGCCACAGAGACAAAATACCAAACGCATGGTGGACAAAGAACAACATAATTCACAAGGAAAGCTTTACACTATACAGAGAAACAAGGAGGACTAACAGTTGATTAGGTGGTTTCCATTGCTCGATCGGTGGTCAATATCTTCTTCTTCGGAAGGTGTAGTGCTCAAATACCTGAGGGCTAAAGACGAAGCAAACCCCTGAGTGGGTTCTCTGCCATTGCATAGCTGCAGGAGGCGTGGTTTTGGCGGTAGTGTGGCGGGAAAACGATGTGGACGACGAGAAAGAGGCGGAGATGAAGAAAAGGAGAAATTTTGAAATCGGGTTTTCAACAAAGAGCTAATTCTGCTTCTCATTTTGTCTTTAAAGGAGAAAGCATCCAACGGACCGCGGCGGTGGAGGCATTCTCGGGAATAAAGTTCTAGCGGTTTCAACTTTGAATTTAAACTATGCTGTGGGCATTTGGGCCGAGTGTGTTAGGCTGGTCGGGTCGGGTCGGAAACGTCGAATTATGCTGTGGAACCGTGTCTACTTGTAAAGTGGACACGGTTTTAAAATTGTTCGTAATTATGAATATATATATATAGTCATATAATTATAAATATAGAGTTGTGAATATAATTATAAATATATAGTTCTGTAATTATGAATATAGAGATTCAATAATTGTAATAATGAAAATGTATTGTGCGCTCGGGCCAAAACAATCTTTTTGGTCATGTTTTTTTTTTTTAAATTCCGTTTTCCGTTTCTACCGTTAACTTAAAAAAAAAAAAACAAAAAATCCATTGTTTCGAATGTACATAAACTCATAACAGAGTACACATAATCTAACATAATATATAATACATAATACACATAAACTCTTAACATAATACACATAAAATCTGAACATAAAAAACGACATCGTTTTGGACAGAGCGCACAATACATTACACGCCATGGTGCACAATATAACGATTACTTGAAATGGTGGTTGGCCTTGAGACCAAGTCAAGGACTCAAAGCCCACGCAGTGGGCCACATGACTAATTCAATGACCATCAATTTAGGCCCTGAGACAGGCTTTGAGGCGTGAATGGTTAGCTGCCTCAGGCCGGCTCCGGAGGCCAGCTCTGAATCGTCTTCTTAGATCGGGCTGCCTATCTTTCAGATAATGTTTTTTTTTTTTTGTTTGAATTACCTATCTTAGATCCCGAATCATCATTCTTGAACGGTTTTCGATATCTCCATCACTTAATAATGTTTTTTATTCTTTTGTAATAACCTCTAGCTAGCCTCTTACTACCTTACTCTTGTCTTCTTAGCTTAATAGCAAAAATAAAATATATTAGGAATATTCTCTAGACTAAGGTTTTGGATGTATATATGTAGCCTATGTAAGATATCTCTTATATTTTGTTAGGTGACTTTTGGCTAATGAAATATTAAGAGCTTTTTCTCTATTATATTCCATTTAGCTAGCTTGGTACGGGGTCTTAATCCTTCATCCTTCTTTAATACACTCTTGTATTAGCATCTTGGATATTCAATTGTAATACAATCTTGCGTTACTAGTTTGGATACATATTCATTTGTGAACTGATCGAACCAGCTAACAATGGTTGATGGATGCATTGGGCTATTCTGATCTTGTTATGATAACACTCCAAATAACCTTTCTACCTCTTTAAAGAATTATATTATATTGTGATGATCTAGAGGTTTTCCACATCAATTATTATTTGGGCAAATTATGCTCTGGAGACAGTTCCAAAACTGTTCATAATTATGAATATATAGTTCAAAAATTATGAACATAGAATTGTAAATATAATTATAAACATATAGTTCTGTATTATGAATATAGAGATTCAATAATTGTGAATATGAAGTTCAAAAATTATGAATATATAGTTTTATAATTATGAACATCTAGTTCAGTAATTATGAACATAGAATTCTGTAATTGTGAATATAGAATTCAATAATTATGAATATGAAATTCAAAAATTATGAATATATATGTTTATAATTATGAATATATAGTTCAGTAATTATGAACATATAACCGTGTCCACCTTGAAGGTGGGCACAGTTCCAAGCATAACAATTGTATTAATTATTAGCCCCTTCAACGCATCAACTGTACTACCAAATCAAACATAAAACTTAGCTTAAAAACCCCACTAGCATCATTCCAAACCAAGGTGTCCCCATTTAGACTACAACAGACTAACTACAAAGCTAGGCTATAGAAATTACATTCATTTACTCATCGTCACTTTTGACCTCTTTTTCTTTCTTTCTTTCTTTCTTTGCGTTTCACGTATACAAATTACACGTAGAATAGAGCAACATCTCCGACCAACTATTACAAGTGGGAAAAGAGATTAAAATGAAATTAAGAAAAGCAATAGGAATATGACCAGAAATTACACATTCCAATCGAAGAAAAATAAAAAAAGAAAAAAAGAAATACATACACAGCTATATATGGCTAGAGAGTAGAGACACTTTCGTCGCGGGGGAGCTGAGGAGAAGTTGTTAGTATTAGAGTAAGTTAATGTGTACTAATTCCCAGGTCGTATTAGCTGTTCACATCTCGTAGCTTGTTCCAGCTGCATAAGATGGCTCCTAATGCTATACTCTTCTACCTGCTTTAACCCAATAATAATAATAATAATAATATGATTAAACGAAAACGCAAAGAACAATCCAAAAAACACACACAGTTCTTGTAAAACTGAAAATGCAGCACCATTTACATCAAATTATGTCAACAATGATCACAAATTAAAGTTTATGCTAGTTGAGGAACCAGAACCAGGATTAAAGAGTGATTAAACTAACAATTCACATTTTGAATTAACGAGGTGAATAAATGCACAAAGTCAATGGGAACACGATATTATGATAGGCTGTTTGTTGTCACAGGAGATATTCATGCACAATTACCTGCAAAGCTGCTGTAGAAGCCAATAGTGCTTCACATTCATCAAGCATGGCTCTCTCTTGTGCTGCCACATCAGCAAGTTCAGAAACAAGGTTGTTTGTTCCCTCCACCTGGATTGTGCAGGTCATAAAATGTAAAGTTCAGAAGCAGATAGATTCATTTGTGACATTGTCTCAACAAAATTGCACAAAAAACATCATCATATATGGGACTGGAGGAAAAATAGCAGGAAACCAAATTCTCTACAATCTTCTCGCTTTACTGTATACTTACGTTGAAGGAAATGCCAGTCTGTGTCCTCTTTTTGGTTAACAGTTTGTCCACTTAACTTTTTCTATCTTAATGGAAGGATCCCTGATGAATCTTTTAGTTATATCAGTGACTACAATAAGGGAAATTTGTACTTAAATCTCCTAAGATTTTCTAAACTGTGAGGTCCTTAGGTTGAAAATATTTGCAAGTCAAACCCTTCTCATAATCTCCCAATAATCAAGACAGTACTTTAAGGTACAGCATTTCCATATATACAATAAAGAAATAGTTTGGAAATAGCAGCTTGGAAGCAGAGCGCAGGAAATACTCATTAGGATAAGATAAAGAAGAATCTATCAAAAAGAAAATCCAACAACACCCATACATGGTAATCAAACCAAGCTACTCAGCACATGAACTTCACTAAAAGCTCACTTAAGATTTGTAAAAGGTAATCATATAAATCTTGAGCATAGTTTTCAATGTAGGCACTAAATATTAACTGTGAGTCAAAAGTTCAAAACTTGAAGTTACAAAAAGGCATCTATTCATCTTATCTCTGCTGATTTCTCTGTTTTTTTTGTTTTTTTTTTTTTTTTTTTTTTTTTTTTCTATCCTGAACACAATGGATGCCAGGCCAGTTGATTTTTTTTTTTTTTTTTAACTATTTCGGTATTTCCCATTCTTCCTGCCAAACCCCAAATCAAATCCTTTTTCTACCCTTCCTCAAGTCAACCTTCCTCTACTTACTCTATTTCTATGTATCACATATCCACATACATTTGGGATGGGAAAAAAATAGTTGTTAGAATATCAAGTTTTCAACACAGCGGAGAGGCATGAAAACATCACATTTGAGATAGAAAGGAATGAACGAAACTCACTTGTGAAAGTACTGAACAAATAGAGGATCCCATTGCCTGCATCATATCAAGAGCTGAACAAACGGCCACCTTTACAGTTTCAATATCTCCCTATATAAAGCAGATAAAGTCAATAGATACCTTTATCTTTAAAGCAAAAATCTCTAAGACTCTTCATCGAATGACATACCCTTGCCCCTCCTGTGATGGGAAGGCGTAGAGTGCATGCCTGAAGATCTTGAATGGCCTGCAACAATGAACTAGTATGGTCCCTTTCAATTGAAGCCCATTCGTCAAGGTAGGAGAGCTGAGTCAGTCATGTTTGCAGTGAAGAATTTGGAAAACAGTAGCAGTCAGACAATATTAATAACACATGAAAAAAACAGAAATGGGAGTAAAACCTTTTCAGATCAAGCAATTAACAAGGACAACGTATTATCATTGCCATATAGTTATAGCACTGATGATTTACAGAAGTATATTCTCCCACAACCACTCATCCAACCAATTGTTAGAAATTTCCAGAGGTCAAGAAAAGTTAAATTGGGGATTTGTAGCAGAAAACCTCCTTTTGGAAAAACATTCAGAAAAAGGTTCTAGGATAATAGTTGATTACAGTTTATCTTCAGAGCAACTGATTTTAGAGGTACACACCATCTCTATCATTATGGGATTAAAAACATTAGTAATTTCAAAATTCTTGATGAACAAAGAAAAATCCTTATGGAAAACAAGCAATTGTAACTCTCCTGTAAACAGTAACTCTGCTGAAAAGTTACAGCAAATAGACCACAAGCTCATGTCCCATTCCCAGATTTTATTCCTCTATTGCAGAAAACTTCACTGAAGTTCCATCAAAACATGTAGCAACAAGATATCAAGCAACAGGAATGAAAAATCTATATTCCTTTCCTACAGACCATTACTGAAGAACATCTTTCTGTATGAATTAAAATTCACAGCGTTCTATGTTCTAGCAAGCGGATAACTGCAATCATTACAGATTTAAATAATTTTCTGAAGCTCTTTTTGTTAAATAACTATCTATACTGATTAACAGCACACTGATTTCATTTCCTGACACCTCTTTTGCAACCTTAAGATCTTGCATTAGCTGGAAAAGAAGATTCAATATAATTCACAGGCCTCTTCATAATCTTGAATTGTATTATTCATATACACACTGGTATGAACTGCATAATTTACTCATTCTTTGCTAATCTCAATAACATACCAATTTACTTAAAAGTTTCACTGGAGGAAAAATATTTCTACAGAAATGCTTACCTGTTCATTCAGAACTGAATAAAGTTTCAACTTCAGTCTCAACTGTTGAAATTCAACTCTCTTCTTGATTACTGAACCCCACAGCTCTGAAGTAGATCTCCACACATTGTGCAACATTTTC